CCACAAAGAGAATGGTATTCACGTTGTTTCCTGGAAATCACTGAAGCCTGAATTTTCTGGAAGGAGCCCCAGCCTGGAATTTTCTGGAAGAAGTACAACCAGAAAAGGCACATATTATTATAAAAGATCTGTAGCAGACTTCTTTAGTGGAAATTCCCTTCCTAATAAATTTTATGTTGAAAGCAAAACCACTTAATGCCCAATTCTAGATTATTTGAAAACAAACAGTCAGTACTTAAGTGCTGCTTTGGTGGTGAATAGCAAACTGGACAAAATGATCTCCCAGCTGTTTTGTATTTTTGGGAATCTAGTATTAAGGAATAAGTTTTGGAGACATAAGAACAAATTAAAAGAAGGAACCAATATCAGATATCAGAAGTACCAAAATGTTCACTTATATAGAAATGTGAAAAGGTTGCCTGGAGACCAGGCTAGCCAAGGGTCAGTAGAGAAAGTTCAAACTGCCTTAGGGATCATATGGTTTGAATTTAAAATGTCCCCCAACTGGCTCATGGTCTGATGTTAGTTCTCCAGTGGATGACGGTATTTTAGGGGGCTGTGGACTGGTTAGGAGGTGGGTCTTGGTGGTAGAAATAATGTCTGTACTTCCTGGTTAGTCCCCACAGGAGCCTGTGGCCTGAACCCAGCCTCTCTACCAAGGAAGTCTTCCGTGTCTTTCTCGTCCTAAGCTGAAACCTTCTGAAATCAAGAACCAAGACGGACGTCTCTTCTCCTAATCGCTTCTCTCGGGTATTTTGTCACGGCGACACTGTGACACTGTGGTGGCAGGAATGCTTGGTCTTCAGGGAGCAGTGCTGTTAGACAAGGATTAGGAGGTGTCACCTTGTTGGAGTAGGTGTGGCCTTCCTGGAGGAAGTGTGTCACTGGGGGTGGGCTTTGGGGTATCAGAAGCCCAAGCCAGGCCCCCTGTCTCTCTCTCTTCCTGCCACCTCTGGATCCAGATGTGGAATTTTCCACTCCTCTCCAGGACCATCTCTGCCTGTGTGCCTCCATACTTCCCACCATGCTGATAATGGACTAAACTTCTGAAACAGTGAGCAAGCCCCAATTAAATGCTTTCTTTTATGAGAGTTGCCATGGTCATGGTGTCTCTTCACAGCAATAGAACACTGACTAAGACAGATGCAAAAAAAAAAAATCTATCTAGGCAGGAGACAATGATTACATACAATGCTTATAGTTTGTATGTAAATGACATTAAAAGGCAGAGTTGAACAGTTAAATGCATATTCATTTATTTTATGTATGTGTGTGTGTGCCTTGCCTGCTACATTTTATGTGCACTACATGCAATGCAGGAACTCACAGAAGCCAGACAATATATGCCATTGTGAGCCAACATGTGGGTGCTGGAAACCAAACCCAGGTCCTCTGCAAGAGCAGTAAGCAGTCTTAACCATTGAGCCATCTCTCAAAAGATTTTTCTAGTAATTTAACACCTTAATATTTTTAAAAATTACTAGGATAAATTTATTATACACAATAACAGATTTCACACATGTACACAATATTCTATTCACCCCATTTCCTTCCTTGTCCCCCAGCTCCTGCTCGTCCCCCTCCTCTTCCCACCCAGTCCTCCTTCTCTCACGTCATTTTAAAGGACCCAATGAATTGAACTAGACTGACTTACAGGGGCATGGGTGCAGGGTTATTTATAGAAGCACAGGCAGAATGAATCTTTATGAGATTCTTGACACAATGTGTGTTATAGGACACAGATCTGATTTGGTTCCTGTAGGTTAAACACAAGCGTCTCTCAATGATGACTCCCAGCTTATCAGGAGCTAGTTAAACAGACCTCACAGGGCAGCTCACAAAGAGAAAGGGGGCTTGGAGAACAGGATGTGAAGGGCAGGCAGAGGAGGGCCTGATGCGCTGCGGGCACCGCACGGGACCGTAGAACAAATGGAGCCGTTGAAGAATGACCGGTCCAAACGCCTTGGCTGCCTTTGTGACTGCAGAGACACTGGGTGTGAATGAGGCTTCTCATTGCCAAACCCTGCACCAAACACCACCCTCTATCTGATCAACAGCCCCTGTATTCCTTACTTTTCTTGCTGCGACCGAATGAACATACAGGAGTATTACTTAAGGAAACAAAGGTTTGTTTAGGCTTACAGTTTGAGGGGGTCAGTCCCTCCCGGAGGGAAAGCCACGGTAGCAACGGCTTTATGGCGGCAGGGGTATGCCCACGGACTCCCCCACCCTTACATCTTGCTTGAACTGCCAGCAGGGAGAGGACAGGAAGCAGGGCCAGGATATGAAGCTCAGAGCCCATCCTCAGTGACCTACTTCCTCACGCAAGGCTCCGCCTCCTAGGGGTTCCGTAACCGTCCAAATCTGCAGCGCCAGCCGCCATCTATTTGGAGGACGTTTTACAGTCAAGTCACAACACGCCCCAAACCGTGACACGCAACAACTCTCTCCTTCTGGTAACCAACCTTCCCCTCGATTCTGCGATGCTTACCTTCTAAGTGGATCTCAGATTCTTCTATCACTGCTTCTTCTGACACAGTTCCATCTGCTCTTGCCCCACCCACTGCAAGAGCCAATTTGAGGGTTACATATCCCCCAGCTCGGGCTGCCTAGTCATCTGCCCATGTGCTTCCAGAACTGTCCTTCTAGTGCACACACCTCACCATGGCTCTCCTCGTCTTTCTCACCCACCCACCCCTTGGTGTTACTCTGAGGGTGAAAACCAGGTCTCCGTCCTGCAGCCCGGCTCTTCCACCTGCCTCTCAACATTTAGATCTCAGTTTCTGGAGCTTTCTCTGGAAATCTGACCCTAGGCGTGGCCATCTTGCCCCTCTTGGGTTCATCCTACTAAAGTTTCCCTTTTCTTTCAAAGCACTGATCTCTATCTATTACTCTGTGAATGTCTGTCTCTGGAATCAGGCAATCACGGCTCTGGATGCCCTTCCCCACCATGGTGTATCCAGCCGTGAACGGGGAGTTTCCTGTACAGCCAGAACAAATAAATATTGATTGAATGAATGGATGAGCCTAATGAGGACAGGCTTCAGAAAATGATTCTTAAAAGACAATCTCATCTTACTCTTGACTGAGCTCTCAAATCAAACTCTTCAAAAGCAAAACATTAGCTATGACTAGTACATTTTTATGAATGAGAAGTCAGGGAGCTGTTACTGTTTTCAGGGAAGTCCAATTGTTCCTCGAGCCTGCGTGAGGAAGCTCTCAAAATAAGCACACAGAGCCAAAAGTTGGTATTCCCAAGGCGTTTCATCTTGAGGATAGATAAATTTTTTGTTTATTGGGAAAAGATAAATTATAGTTGGAAAAAAGTTCAGAAAATACAGTTTAAAAAGCAACTTTAAAAGAGCCTTTGAGTGACTCAAGAGGGATGCAAAGGGGAGATCTGAGCAAAAAGCATATTTCAGGATGCTACACTCATCACGCTGAGCTTAGAAATGTCAAGACCAGAAAGCATTTGTACAAGCGCTATTTGTTAAATGCGGAGTCAAATGGAACTTTAATTTCAGAACTCTCTCCAACGAATACAACTTTCGCTTTTTATGCTTGTATTTTAAAAGAAATTGCTTTGGGTAAATAATTTGGTGTAGTTAAGCCTAAAATGCAGGATTCAATGCAAACTGACCAGTACATTTTCACCAGTCAGTAGAAGTCTTTCTTACTGTAGTTATTTTCCAAATGCTTGGGTAGCATAAAACGGGCAGTAATTACTTACTGAATACTCTCCCCCAAATGCATGCCTCCCATTAGAATATGAAGAACAACCAGGAAGACAAAATTACTTATGAAGCAGGCCTTTACTGAACACCCTTACTACACAAGGTCTGGCAAAGAATTACAAACCAACAATTGTACAGCTAGAAGAGAGACCTCTAGTGTGTGTTCGGGGAGTTTATACTGTGCTCCGGGCATAATTAATAGAGCAAAAACCACTGCAGTCATTTTGTGTGCTGTGGTGGGAGATTTCCCCCCCAACTATCCTTCATACTTAATGCGTCTAGAGATTTCGTCCCAGGAAACCTATGGCAATTTTGCCTCGACAGTTACGTTCTCCTTATACACAAAAGCCACATCCCATGAAGTTTTCTCTGCGATCTGGAGTTTTAAAGTTCCAGGGTCACCTTTGTCCCCTCATTAGGAAACACTTAGCCGGCTGCCGGCTGCCATCCTCACAGTCACCAACAGCTCTTCTCAATCTGCATCAGCAGGACTCCTAACACAGCCAGCCCCTTCTCCGAAGCCACATGCCACCAAAATCTAAACACGAGGAATAAAGCGGCATCTTGCCCATTATCCTCGAGACAAATGGACTCACTGCTTTTTAAAATTCGCCAAGCCGGCTGGCTATTAGCTCCCACAACCTCCCATACGGGCAGGTAAATTCCCTGATGTCGGCTCAGATTTAACGAATCATTCCATGGTATCAGTCTCAGCCTTTAAAAATCCTTTATTTTCTTCTTCCCCACATTAAAAACATTTGAGATACACACAGAAAATGCTTCCCCCGGAACGCACACACATAACACACGAAACAGGAGGTCTCTTAAGGAGTCTACTGCTGAGAAGGTAAAAGCATTTTGCTCATTTTTAATTTGCTAAAACAATCCAAGCATGCTTGGTACCCAGAGGGTATTCTCAAATAAACTTGTATCTCTGGCTGCCAGCTTAGTTGATTGAAAACAGAAGGCAAACGTTTCTTAAAGAATGAGTATGCTAAACTATTGTGTCTCCCTGAGTGCCACCAAGGGCACACCACACCACACACACACACACACACACACACACACACACACACACACACACACACCACGGGAGGGGGTGAGCAAAGATTTGCTTGAAGGCAGCCAGTCCTACGGTCTAAACGGTAGTATAATATTTGTACAATATTTGTATCAAATTACTTCTGCCCACTGCGGTGTCCCTCTTAGCCAGGAAGCCAGAGCCAAGAGGGTCTCGGACAGTTCCCGCGTGCGATTCTCCACGTACAAAGCCGACCGCCCCATCGTAACTTTGCTAACTTAGTCCGCTCCGGCCCAGCCGGCCCCCGAAGCACAGTGACGGTGAAAACGTGTTGACACTGGAAAATCATTTCCACGACAGCCTAAGTGTTGGAAAGCACAAAGGCGATCCCTGTCGGCCAGCGATCGCTAGGAAGTTGCTGTATGCGGGACGCCTGTGCCAGGCCGGCGTCCAGGTAAGGAGTCCCCGCACTACAGCTTCGCCCTCCCCTTCTTGGACATTCAGGGGCTCCACCTCACTTTGGAAGCGATTCACCACAACGCGTCACCCGCCCCGTTCTTTTTTCCAGGAGGTGAGGACTCTTTTATTTTCCAGCCAGGTCCCTCTTGGGGGCAGGAGAGGAAGCGCACTCCACATTTCCATCAAGAGGGGAGGCAGGCTGGGGGGTGGGGAGGAAAGAGGTCAGAAAGGAGCCAAACTGCCTCCCTTCCTCCCACCTCTGCGCCCCGGAGCGCCGGTTCCGACCGCGCACACCGGTGGCGACCAGGAAACTCTGTCCCTTTAAGGGAACAGTGGCTTCCAGAAGAGGAGGAGGGAAGGACGGCGGCTCCGGACTCCGCGCCGCTGGCTCCGGGAGAGGGGGCGAAAGCCAAAAGCCACCGCCGTTACCTGCGGCGACCGCAGCCTTCCCCCACCCCAGCGCCCCCAGCCCGCGCCGGCCTCCCAAGGAGACTTCTTAATCCTAGCTCTCTAACCGGGAAGGAGGTGGGGAGGAAGAGGAACCGGCGCTTTTTAAAAAATAAATGAAACATTTGCACCCCGGGAGGGGGGGGGAGGGGAAATGGGAGGGGATGGGAAAGGGCTTTAAAGGCGCCCGAGTGGGCGGAGGCGACGAATCTGGATCAGCCCGGGTTGCACGCGGGCCGGCTCTCGGCACCAGCCGCCGCTCACAAAAGGGCTCAGCCCGGGAGAAAGGGGAAGGGAAAAATAAATAAATAAATAAAGCGCCCCGGGGCCCGATCCGCTCGGCAGCCACAATGGCGTCTTTGAGCGGGTGTCCCGGGGGGCGCCGCCAAGGCTGGCTGCCAGCGGGGCGACGGTCCCCCACCCCCACGCGATCGGCGCCGAGCCCCGGGGCGCCCCGGGAAGAATGGACGCGCGCGGCTGGCGGGAGCAGGGACGGGGCGCGGGGGTCCGAGAGCCGCGGGGCTGAGCTCGGAGACGCAGGACCCGGCCGCGGGGACACCCCCCAACCACCACCACCCCAGCCCGGTCCGCGCGCCGGCTACCGACCCCGCGGAGCCCCGACCCAGGCTCCCGCCGCCTCGGCCGGCACCCGCTCGGCTCCCTCTGCCAGGAAGAAAACCGAGGAGCCGCAGCGGCAGCCGGTGCGAGCGGATCCCCAGCCGCCGTCCGCGCCCGGCTGCGTGTGTGCGAGTGTGCCGCGCTCTCGCCCCATGCCTGGCACATGCGTAAAAGCGAGTTGCGCCCAAAGTCCCAGCCATACCCTCCTTAGCAAATAATAACAAACCCAAACCGTCAGATCTTACCTGAAACATTGAAGCACAAAGTCTCTCTCCAAGTCCCCTTTTCCTTTTCCTCTCCCCCCTTTTCCGATTTCTCTCCCAGCGATCTGCTCGCCTCGCCACACCAGAGAGAAATGCAATAGCTTGGCTAAGGTAGACAGAACAAAATACAGAGGAGAGTTGCTCCAGGGCTTTGAAACCCCTCAAGGCAAGGATCAGGATACAATTAGCTCGCGCCTCTACCTCTAGTCCAAATCTCCAAAATAAAACTTAAATCAAATTAACCGATCACAGGGTGCACGGTTGATCTTCAAAAATAAAGCCTTACATAGACTATAGAGAAATATACATATAGGAATTTTTCCCCAGATTTTTTTTGTTGGAAAAACAGTCTCATTCCATCCTCCAACTTGCTTTTCACTCTCCTCTTGCACAGAAAAGCTGATTTTAATCGTTGTGATTAGTTTTGATGTAACGTGTCCGCAGGCGATTTCTACAAATGGATGGAGTGTTTCTTTGCCAAAAGAGGGAAACGCAGCAGATGATGATAATTATAAGGATTGTTGGTTGTTTCTTTTTATTTGTGTTTAGAGCTCTCGCTTCACTTTCTCGAGTTGACCTGACGTTGCTGTTACAGGAAGGTCCCACAACTTGTTGATGAGGCTCACCGCCCTGTCTGATCAAAGGCTAGGTGATAATTTGGCAATAGAACAGCATGGTTTTGGTTCCTTTGGCGAAATAAATGTCCCAAATGACGTGGATAAAAATAAGCACATGCAGTCTGCTTTGCCCCAATCAAGTCTGAATCAGTGCCTGGGGGTGATACACAAACTCATTTCAAATGTTCAACCATGCAGAATTGTAAAAAGATTGAAGGAGTTACACTGCATTTTTTTTTTTTTTAGTGGCAAAATTAAAAGAAAACAAAACCCAACATACCTACCATTTAGGTTTATTTGATCAACCCTCTGAACATACCTCCTGTATTCTCTGCTTGCCTCCCCCTGATACCTTTGTAGGGGTTTCCTACGGAAGGGCTCATGTAGGGAAAGAGAACACAAACACATCTCCCCAGACTGCAGCTCTGGGTTCTGACCCTTCCCCCATCACTTCTTCCTCTCTAGGTCTTTGTTCAGACTTTTGCTGAAGACTGTTCTTTATCTTAATTCTTTTCGATTAGAGTTGGGTATTTGGTTGTAAACTCGGGGGTCACCTCCCATTAGTGTTAAATCCTTGCAGGATGCTTTTTGAAATGGTATGTTTTTGAGTACTTCACAGTTCATTAATTCAAAGACTTTGCTGACATTTCATATACATACATACATACATATATATATACATATACATGTGTATACACACACACACACACACACACACACACACACACACACACACACACACACGAGAGAGAGAGAGAGAGAGAGAGAGAGAGCGCCTGAGCAGGTTGTACAGCCAAGGATACAGAAACAGGAAAGCCTACCCAGAACCAGATATGCCTTGCAAATACTTGTAGCTGGCAGCATTGTACAGGAAGTGATTTTTACCCATCATTTTACCTTCAAGGTGAGGAAGTGTTACAATGTCAATAGAAAAAGGAAGGAATTAGTTTGTCTTTTTAAAAATAGGATCCAACAAACTAATCTGTAACGACTTAAGAGACTGATGTTATAATAAGAGTCAGAGGTAGTGGTAGGTTTTTATTTTTAGTGTGGAAAGTGTATTAGGGCATGGGCATTTGCTTTGAGGACTTCATTCCCTTGGAAGAAAACAAAAATATCTTAAGAAGCAACACAAAGAGACTCATAGTTCCTTTGCATATCTCTTTGGTAGATATATTCTGTGACCTGCAATAAAATGTTTAAAGTGACTACAAAAGCTAAATTCAACAGAATGGATGGTTCATTTTCCAAACGACATGAACATAGAGAAGTGAAAAAACAAATCCAGTCATTTAATGTGGTAATTCAAGCAATGTGAGGATCTCTTCCATGAAATGCTTAGAATCGGGGAGTTCAGATTTTCAAAGAAAACATACATATAAAAAGACCTGAGTGGATGGGACCCAACTCTGAACATGACATTCATTTATATCTTATGTAATACCTTCCACACACAGCCTGAAGGTAAGCATACACATTTGTGTGGGGTGTCAATGTATGTGTTCATGTGTGTGTGTGTGCATGTATGCAGATGCAATTTCGTGTGTGTGTGTGTGTGTGTGTGTGTGTGTGTGTGTGTGTGTGTGTAGGCCAGAGGTCAACATCTAGTGTTTTCCTTTTGTTTTAGTTTTTTTGAGACAGGATCTCTTACTGAAGCTCACTGATCCAGCTAGACGGGCTGACCGGCATGCCCCAAGAATGTCCCTATCTCCACCTCGCCTCCTCGGCTCTGGGATCGCACAGGTATGCCGCTGCACTCATTCTTGCAAGGCAAGAGTATTGACTGAACCTGTCTCCATGTCATTGTGTAATGTAGCCAAGTCTCCCAGTGTGGAGTTTTCCACTTGTGCAGTCAATCACAATGCTACTCAATGAGTTCCAACTTTTGGGGCATGTGATAGTTTTGTCAGTTTATGTAATCTAGAATCTTCTAGGAAGAGAGTATCAATGACAGATTGTCTAGATCAGGTTGAACATGTCTATGGGTGATTATTTTGATTACATTAATTGAAGTGAGAAGACCAACACCCTGTGTGTGGCAACATCACAGAGTAGAGAAAGCAAGCCGAGCACATGCACCCTTGCATTCATTCATTCATTCATTCATTCATTCATTCATTCATTCATTTTTTTCTCTGTTTTTAACTGTGGATGATTTGATTTAATGCTTCAAATTCTTCATGGTGTAACTCCCCTCCCCACCCATGATGGACAGTAAGTACCTGGAGCTGTGAGTAAAATCAACCCTTCCTTCTTCAGCTGCTTCTGCATGGCATTTGACCACAGTAACAGAAAAAGAAACCAATGCACAGCATTTCAGAGTTTGGGAATTATGGATGCTCAACCTGTCTGTTAAAGCCGTGATCTATTGAGACCATTAATTAAAAAACAGAAACACCTCTCCCCGCCCCCCCCCCAATCTCAAACCCACATGTCCTGTGGAGAACAATGCACTGCTGTCCTGGAATGTTTGAGCTGGAAGCTCCTTTGCAGACTAGTATGTCACCATCATTTCAGCAATGAAGGTAGGAAGTGAAGAAGCTTGCCTGCTTATTTTTAAAGGTTCCGTTTCTCATTGGTTATTATTGCGGGTGTGCATGGTGACTGAATGGGAGAAAGTGCTTGTGTGGAGGTCAGAGGACAATTGGGTGGAGTTGGTTCACTTCTACATTTACATGGGTTCTGGGAATCGAACTCAGGTCATCAGGCTCAGGCAGCAAGCACCTTTTACCTGCTGAGCCACTGTGCTGACGCAAGATGCTCTTTATAAAAATTGGTTCATTGATATGTTGAGGTGGTCCAAGTCTGTGGTAGTTCCAGTGGCAGGCGGTCCACACAAACTTCTCATTTTCACTAGCTTGAAAATGCATTTTGTTTTATGCAATACAAATAGATGAATGAACTTCAGGCTCTCTAAATAGTGAAGATGATGAACTTTAAGTTTTAAATTTTAAAATAGGTGGCATGAGAGTGCACCCGTAATTCAGCACTTGGGAGGTGGAGGCTGGAGGATTGCCAGTTCTAGTCATCCCAGGCTATCCAGGGAGTGCTAGGCCAGCCTGGGCTACAGAGACTGTCTCCTAAAATGAACAGGCTATTCATGAAACAGCATGGGAAGAGCCAGGCCCTGTCTTACCTCAAGGCCAATTTCAATTCTATTTGCAATCACAAAATGACTTTAAAATAACTTTTTCAGCTGGTGTGGTACATGCCTTTAATTCTAGCACCCTGAAAGCAGAAACAGGTGGAACTCTGTAACTTCGAGGCCAGCCTGGTTCACAAAGGGAGCTCCAGGACAGTCAGGACTAGAGAAGAAAATCCTGTTTCCAAAAAAAAAAAAAACATGAGAGAGAGAGAGAGAGAGAGAGAGAGAGAGAGAGAGAGAGAGAGAGAGAAAAGAAAGGGAAAAAGAGAAAAAGAAAAGGAAAAAGAGAAAAAGAGGGAGAGAAAAGAAAAGGAAATACCTTTTTCCCTAACTGATACCAAATATGAACTTCAACCACTCTGGAGTTTGTGTAATGTGTGTGAACACCTGTGTTTTAATTACAGGATGAAAAAAAGGAGTACATTCAAACTCTTTCTAAGCTCTTACTGTCCACAAATAACTAAAGACCAGCAGTCTAACACACATTAGCTACAGCTAATGGTTATAGTTTTTGTCAGCAAGAAAACAGTCAGGGTGTTGTTGGTGCACACTTGTGCACAGTCAGGGTGTTGTTGGTGCACACCTGTGAACAGTCAGGGTGTTGGTGCACACCTGTGCACAGCCAGGGTGTTGCTGGTGCACACCTGTGCACAGTCAGGGTGCTGGTGCACACCTGTGCACAGCCAGGGTGCTGGTGCACACCTGTGCACAGTCGGGGTGTTGTTGGTGCACACCTGTGCACAGCTAGGGTGCTGGTGCACACCTGTGCACAGTCGGGG